TTATACTAATACCAATGTAGTCAAGAAACTTTTCATTCCTTCTTTCTTGATACATATTATAAAAGTTTCCTTCTTGATTTTCTTCTCTCAAATAAGGAACTATTTATCACATAAAACTAGAATTTGCCTGGCAAATTTAATTCACAAACAAATAATGAAGGGTAATGATCAGTGATAAGAATTCTTTTCTATTTTTACAATTTTTCTGTGGCCTTCAGGGGTCCCCTTAAGTTTTAGTATTAAGTGTAGTGGCACTGGCCGAGAGGCTTTGCGGGAGCCTGGCCGGAAACAGGGAAGTGAAAGCATGGACAGCTGCGACTGGTTTGGGTGCGATGGGCGTAGATCGGATGGAAGGAGAGGAAAGGAAAAGGAGAAAGGGGGTAGGGTTGGTTGTTGCTGTAGTCAGGGGAAAGACCAGGTGAAGCCGAAGAGGAGTTTGAAGATTTTAGCTGATTCCCTCTCTCTAAAGAGAGGGAAGAAAAGAGAGAGTGGGAAAGAGTGGAATTTTATTGCTTCTTTCAGGGGGGGGGAAATACCCTGAGTGGAGAGAAAGAGAGAGAGTGGAAAGAGAGAAAGTTTGCTGGGTTGTTATATTCAGATTTTAACAATAAAGGAAGGGTAAAGAAGGGAATTGTCATAGAGAGACCTGGGACTACGAGCATTGACAGAAGGAAAGGAGAGGCTGGTCGCTGTGGTTTTGGGGACTAGCGGCCATCCGAACTTTGCTTACTATCACTGGTGCAAGTGTAGGCACTGTGGGGAGCTGCCTCTGTGGAGCAAGCTATGGCTGCGGAGCATTGACTGTGTTTGTGTTTCCTGCTACTGCCTGGAGCCGGAGGATCTCCCCACCCCTTTTTCATCCCAAATGGCTACTATAAACTGCTTACTATTATTGCCACGACTGCTTGGGGCTGTTAAGTACTGTCACGCACTGACTGCTGTAGTTGGGAGTTGGTCATCTTTGTTCCTGTGAATCCCTCGATGACGAGAACTTGTCATCTCTTCACTCCGCGTGAGCTCCCACTAAAACAGGGGTGTCAAATTGCCGGGCCACGGGCCAGATGCATCACATGGAAGCCACGCCCACCCCATTGCTGGCAATGGCAAAACCGGCCCGATACGTTGTGCGACATCATGTGACATGCCTGAGCTAAAAGGATATTGTTGCCAATGTTTTGGCAAGAGCAAGACTAAAGAGGGGAGGGCTAGGAAGGCCTGGGCTTTGGCGGCCCTTAAGGGGGTAACGCTACATAAGAATGTTATAGAATTTGTTTTAATTTTACAGTATTGCATTAGCAATTCTAGCATTTAGTTATCTTATACATTTAGTTATCTTATACATTTCATGGAATTACTGAAATGGATATAATTTTCCTTAGTGTATTTTATGCTAGTTTATGACCAAAATGAAGTTTGCTGTTGTGATGGTATGGAATACTTGAAGCAGGATACTGCTTTTCAAGATTATTTTTTTACAAGAATACTAATAGAGATACCTGTTTCAGCATTAAGCTAAGAAAGAGATGCTGCTGCAAAATTTTTATACTCCTCCTTCTCTCACTTTCTTCCAAGACAGAAGCTTGCTTTAACAATTGGTAAATATCAATCCGTATGGAGTCACATCTTCATTCTGTAAACAGTATTCAGCCATTACTATAAAGTATAGCTAAGGACCTTTCCCTGCTAGTGAATTATGCTATCTACCCATCCTTTAAATGGAAACTACTGGCCAATTCCTACCCTGTCTCAAATTCCTTTGTTTCCAGTCACTGAAGTCCCCTGAAATCCTGCTATAAAAATGTTTCTTAACCTTGGCAACTTTTAAATGTGTAGACTTCAATTGTCAGAATTCCGCAGGCAGTATGAGAACATAAAGAAAAGTAACATGTAACATCTTAACAGATTTCAGTCCTGGCAATAACAATAGCAATAGCACTTAGGCTTATATACCACTTCATAGTGCTTTACAGCCCTGTCTAAGTGGTTTACAGTATCAGCATATTGGGCTGACTCCAAATAACTGCATTTAGAAGCAGGAATGAAATTTAGTAGTCCACGATAGCAGTACAGTACTCCCTTGTTTCTTCCATTTGAGCAAATGGTTCCTTATTTGCTCCTCTGGGAAAAAGTAAAAGTGCTACTACTCAACATTATTGTCTTGAGAGCAAAGCTATCCTTCATTCCTAATGCTGCAGGGCTTTCTAACAGAAATTCTATAGAGAAATGCAGGATGTCAACAGTGTGCATATGAACTGGCATATGAATTCTCCACTTTGAATAGCAAAATATACTGTAATATAAAAGATTCCCAATCTATATAACCTTCATTAGCATCAGAAAACTGGAAACGCTGCAAAGGGTATTTCAGATATTTTAAAAAAGGGTGATATGATTATATGCTGCAGATATAACATACCTATTCAAGCTATCTGAAGCTTACAAATTTTGCCAGATACAAGACTTAACATACTCCATCAGATTGTTTAATTACTCAAGTTACTATTACTTCATATTAATAATGTATTTTGAATTATTTATTCATTGGATTTTTATCCCGCCTGTATTACTTTATAAGTAACTCAAGGTGGCCAATGTACACAATACTCCTTCCATTTTCCCCATAACAACAACCCTGTGAGGTGGGTTGAGCTAAGACAGCAGTTCTCAACCTGTGGGTCGGGACCCCATTTGGGGTCGAACGACCATTTCACGGGGGTCGCCAAACAAGGCTGTCCACCATTTTTCCCCCTTTTCTTTGGCCATGCCCCTGGCACCCGGTGATGTATAAGTGGTTGGGGGTCACCACAACATGGGGAACTGTATTATGGGGTCGCAGCATTAGAAAGGTTGAGAACCACTGAGCTAAGAGATAGTGACTGGCCCAAGGTCGCCCAGCCAGTTTTCATGCCTAAGGCAGCGCTAGAACTCACAGTTTCCTGGTTTCCAGTCTGATGCTGTAACCATTAGACTTCTAAATATGATACTAATATAATTATTTTTCCTTCATCTACATAAATCAAATGCTCCAAGGTCTGCATAAAACAACCTACTAGATAAGTAGTATCTTATCTAGATACCTACACAAAATTTAACATTGAATCTCAAAAAGACTTTAAAACATCCAGACTAGATTGAAATCTAAAAATTCCCAAACACACATGAATGCAAATTATGGTTGAATAAGATATTATCCACTATAAAAAAGTATTTGGTTTTGAGCTCATTTAATGTAGTGGTTAAAGCACCAAGCTAGAACTGGGAGACTCTGAGTTTGAGTTCTAGTTCAGTTGGGTGACGAGGCCAGTTGGGTGACCTTGGAGCAGTCACTCTCTCTTAGCCCTAAGCAAGGAAGCAATGGCAAACTGCTTTCAAAAATCTTACATTTGGAATTAAAAAATGCTGATCTGAGGACTAGCAACCCAACATCTCCTTTACGGCCCTCAACATTCCATATTAGTGGGCTGCCTCTTTTTCTTGTTTTTTCAAAATTTGCTGCATTAATTGGAATTCTGGACGGGGTTTTAAATGGCCATAGGATACTTTAAGTCTTCCAGAAATGTAAAGGATCTACTTTATTCTTTATAACGTTCCTTCCAAAATAAAATATGACTTTCCCATTTTTGGAGTCTAGTTCTTGACAGGGCATGCAAATTCCTACCTTAAATGAAAAATTACTTAGATAATTCATAGATGTACACATAAATTAATGGCATTCATTGGCTGCCTTCTGAGCATCCTTTCATGGAACTAGATAGTATTGAAAATACTAAGTCTTTCTTTAAATGCCTATACAAGTGGACCATTAATATTTTCTTTGCAATTCCTTGTTTGTTCAGTAACATCTGCACTGATACTTTGCAGAAAGCTAAGGAGACTCCATTCTGAAGTCTGAGGAATTTCAAAGGCAATTTATGAAATGGGTGGTGATCCATTACTCAAAGTAAAAAATTCCTTTTGACATGTCAATTAATCCTGCCATACTACAGTTTCTATACTACAGTTCCTTTGATTTCACTCTTCATATCTCAAAGGCACTTTCAGAAACAAACCAAAAAGCCCAGTAAGAGTACAGCACTTTTATTTTAGTGCTCGGTAGGAGATTTTTCTTTCAGCGTTGAGCTTTCAGATTGCAAAAGACCCATCTGCACAGTTTACTTTCCAAACTCAGTAGCAGAGACTGGGGGAGGGGGAAATGGGTGAGATAAATAGCATTGTGAAAAGGAGTGTAATTAATCACATATTAAACACTTATGAAGAGCCAACCTACAACTCCTGCTCCATTATCTGAACAAAACCGCTACTGAATTCACCTGGATCGATTTTGGGAGAAATGAGTATCTGTGCAAATGCATAAAACGCTGATAAAGTCATATTATCTAGCCATATTGGCAGAATGAAGAAAGAATTATGGCTGGGTGATGAACATATTGTACCACATTCTGTCCTTGTTTCTAAAGTAATCCTAATATTCACCACGGTTGATGTTTAATAGGTACCTACGTTCCCCCCCCCTTTCTGCCTCAAATCAGAACTGTCCGAAGCAAACTTGGTTTTCAAAGATGGGACGGGGGGGGGGGGGGAAGTAAACTACTTGTTTTCAGTTGTTCTCGACTGAAGGCAAGCCAACAAGCATCCTCACCTTCCCGCACAGGATTACTCCAAGTCGCCTCCTCCCCCTTGCAGAGCACACTCTCCCCTCGCTACGCGGAAGAAAAGAAAAACACAAGTCTAAAACGGAAGCGTCGACGTCGACCCTCCTGCCTTTCGAGAGGCCAACTGTAAAATTCTTATAGAAAAGGGGAAACCGCCTGCAGAATATGAAAGGTGTGCTCCTTCCAGATCATCTACCCTCACTCTTGCCCTGGACTGGTGAGGCACCAGTCAGCTTGCACCGTCCGGGCTTGCGAGGGACAAGCGGGCGACATTCATAGTCCTCCAACGGTGGAAAACCGGCCGGAGGAGAGCCAAGTTAACACAGGGTGAAGTCAGTCCCCGCTTACCTTTCCCACGGCGGTGGCTGCTGCTGCTGTTGCTGCTGCCGTCACGTTTACCTTTCTGCACCGCTGCGGGCTCGCAAAAGAAACCTTCCCGGCCACCCCTCGTTGAACGTCGGGAGAGTTTTTCTGCTCTAACTCGAGGAGGAAAAACAAACACGAGTTGCCACTGAAAAGAATGGATGCCTGTAAAACAACCTACGGAAAATCCGCCGTCCCAGTCCTGGCGCAGATCTTCTTCTCGTCCTCCTGGAAGGGGGACCCAGTAGAGCCTCCTGCTGGCTCCGCTCCGGAAGCGCAGGGAGATGCGAAGGGAGGCGACTCGCAAGAAAAGCCAGCTGCATGCAATTCCCCACGTTGCAGAAGAATGCGGGATGGATGTGGGAGAGACTTCAAAGACAATATAAGATAATGACAGAAAAAGAGGACCGGAGTCCAGAGTGACAAGCAGCCTCAACAAATGCGTTTGCCCCGTTTCTGCACATGCAGTATGTTTACGGAGCAAGGGTGCTGTTTTAATGGTAATAGAGGAGGTGATGAGGACTGAAAAGAATAGGGAGTACAGTCATGATCTGCCACTGTTGATATTAAATGGTTCCCAAGGCTGCTATTTAATTGCACTGATAAAAATTTCTGAAATGTCACTTCAGATGTCTCATATAAATAGGCAAGCAGATGGGGGTTCGTGTATTTTTGATTATGTGGAGCTCCAGGCAGAAAGATACATGTGAAACTGGGATATTGCTGATGGTCTGATTTACATTTTGTACTATTTTATATTTTTTCTTAACACACCATAAACCATAATTGAATAGATTCACATTATTTGCTAAATCATATGCCACAGTACATGCTAACTCCAAACTAAAGTCAAGCTCAGCTCAGTGGAGACTTGGCCCAGTTATTTTAAGGATACAATTATATGGCTCTTTTTTGCTTTGCTGTAAAATGTGCCCTGTTTAAAATAAACATAATCTCACTCCTGGTGATGCAGAGCTCATCAATTCAGCGTCTACATTTTGTGTGTGTGTTCACAAAACACATTGTATCAAGGATAGACTTTGTATGGACAAGTATAATGAAATAAGGGATTCATTTATACAAAATATAGTAGGTTAAGCAAAGCACTATAGTTATATACATGTGGTGATGTATTGTTATGTAGTTTGGTAATGAAATATTTGCATCCTCAGCACCAAAGGACCCACAGTTCAACCCCGAGTTACAAATATTCTCTCCTATCAGTTATATAATGTGTTACAAATCTATATATACTTGCACAATATTTGCATCAGATAAATATATGTATAACAGCAACTGCTTACTGTTATAACAATATATTACTGTATAGTTTTTCTTTTTTCTGTTGGATTTTTGTCACATTTTAAAAAATCACTTGTAATGCATTTTGATAATGTATGTATTTCATGATTATCTTTGTATTTTTCTTTTCTTTTTCTGCTTTATTTTAAAAGCAATAAAATAAATTTTAAAAATGAAACACATTAAACCATAATATACAGTTTGATTTTAGCCTTGTACAGGATGTGAGCTATATTATGTTTTAAAGCTTAATATATTAACTGCTGTTAATGCAATAACATGCTTAAGGAAACTGGATTTTTATGAACATCATCATATACTGTAATTAGGTTGTGGTTCTTGCAATAAGGATTATTGAGGATTTCAGTTTTTATACTAGAACTTAAAACCCCAACTCTGTAACTGAAGGATTGTTTCAGACGTTAGACAGGAAATGGCGCTGTGTACTGTGAATAAGAACTAAACATAAAAAAAAATAATAAAATCGTCAACTTACAACTGGTTGCTTAATGACCATTCACATTTATGATGACTATGGAACAAGTGCTTTACAGGCTGCAAAATATCACCTGACTGTCATAAATGGCTGCACCACCACCCACATGGTCATATGACCACATGCTGGGTGCTTGGCAACCAGTCACTTTTATAACTGATCATGGTTACATGAACTGGAAGCCAGCAAAAATCACCCATTCAGATGAATGGATTCACACTTACAACTGCCACAATCACTTAACCACCATGGCATTTACTTAATGTCAATCACAAAAAAGCTTGTAAAATCACTTCCAGTCATATGGGTGCCTTGATTTCTGACCATAATGATTTATGACCATATTCCCAGTCTCAATTGTGATTGTAAGTAGAGGACTACTTGTAATGCTTTTTAACATGTGTCCAGCCACATATGTATATATATGTTTGAGAGGCAGTTTGTTGTAGTGGTTGAAGCTAGAAACCAGGAGACTGAGAGTTTTAGTCCCACCTTAGGTACAAAGCCAGCTGGATGGCCTTAGCCCAGTCACTCTCTTTCAGCCCTAAGAAGATAGCAATGGACAGCCACTTTCAAAATCTTGCCAAGAAAACTGCAGGGACTAGTCCAGGCAGTCGTTAAGAGTCAACAATGACTCAAAGGCCCCAAAAAAGTATTTGTAAGCTGGTATCTTAAGTAAAGAAAATATATGCAAGACTAATTGTATATGCCTCTCATAGATCCTCCAGCTTGGCACACATATTCTGAGGACCTTTTCCCTCCACCATACTTGAGTGGAAAATATTATATTGACATGAAATCTATTATTGTTGCAAATTCTTATTCCAATATTGCCTAGCTATAGGAAGCCTCAAAAGTCATTTTGGGTAATGATCTAAAATATCTTCTCCAAATTTTAATTATGCATTCCACCCCCAAAACTGTAAGGATCCTTATATGTTAGAACAGAGGTCCCCAACCTATGGGCTGTGGCCCAATACTGGGCCATGGCCTCTTGGCCACTGGGCCGCATGAGTGGCTGGTCAGTGCATGTGTGCATGTGTGCATACTCACCCCACCTTTGTGGCGGTGCTAGCTAAGTCACGAGCTGTGAGGGTCTCGCTGGTGCTAGCCGAGCCATGAACCATGAGTCTCTTGTTGGTACTAGCCGAGCCGCCACTAGCTGAGTTGTGAGCCATGCACTGGCGCTAACCGAGCCGTGAGCTACATGCTGACACTACTAGCAGCCCCATTTGCAGAGCACGCATGCTCACAGCCCTGTTTGTGCCCACGCACATGCAGCCACATTTACCTGTGTATGAATGTGCTCATAAAGGTGCCTGTCCCTCCGTTTTCCACCGGGCCACCAACCCACAAAGATTGGTGACTCCTGTGTTAGAACATCTATAGGGCTGGTAATTTGTTCTTTTGGAGATTGTCTTAATGGGAGAACCAATATACCTATTTATATAAATAAGGAAAATCATAGCAAACTTTTAGAAAAGCTATGATTAAAAGAAATAAACGGAATGTAATGTGATTGATACATGTTTAAAATATAAAGTTTGAAATATATGACTATAATAACTTTAATTATGTAGATTTGAAATGATTTATTATTTAAATTAACCACATTTAACCAGGTAGGTTATGCAAACCCAAGTATGTAGCATTAGGAGATTGGCCTGGAGGCAAGCGACAAATGTTTGCTTGTTACAATTTTGCAATACAAACCCCATTTTTTATATAGGACTGCCAGTCCTCAGCTTACAACCATTCATTTAGCATTCATTCAAAGTTACAATGGCATTGAAAAAAGTGACTTAGAACTGGGGTTCTTGCACTTATGACTGTCACAATAACCCCATGATCATGTAATCAGAATTTGTGTACTTAGAAACGGGACATGTATTTATGACAGTTGCAGCATCTCAAGGTCATTTGACCGCCATTTATGACCCTCCAAGTTTCTGACAAGCAAAGTCAATGTGGACAGCTGGATTTGCTTAACGACCACAGTGATTTCAGTGACTGCCATGCTTAGCAATGGAAATATGATCCCACAACCTAGTCATAGGTTGAGGATTATCTCCACAATGTTGGGATGCAAGTATAAAAGGTGGGAAATTGCAATTGATGTAATAGTCCACTTTTCCTCATTTTTGCTTCATTTTCCTTAGCAATGGACTCCAGATCTGGCTGGGTTATGTACTATGCAAAATCCCAACAACTGGATCAAGTAAATCAAGTTTAAGAATATTGCAAAAATAGCATGAGTCATCCAGTATTTTTAAACATGATTTTTTTGAACAAGCATTGCAAACTGAATTGCACGTAACATTAAAGCCAAAATGGTTGTTATGCTGAAAGCAACTCAGCCACTTTAATTGAATTATATTTGAATCTAGGTCTTCCCCAAGATGGGAATTGTCATTTTTTCAAAATTATGTATATGTACAAAAAACCCACATCTTTGATGTTGAAGGAAAAGTCTTCATCATGGTTCAGTCCAAGCTGGGAATAAACAACATGGAGACTGCTTTAGAAAGAAGGTTGCAATTTACTGAGTGGGTTTTTATACCCTCTTGAGGTTGTTTCCTGTTCGAGGCTTTGTATTTCCTGTGTCATATACTTTTGACCTGAGTCTGAGTGCGCCCCTTTGGCATCTGTGGGTTAATCCTATTATGTCCTGTCTTAGAGTTTGAGTGAAGTATGTAGATTTTAGGTGTCTTTGTCTTCCTAAACCTCTAGCTGGGGGCCTCCAACCTTCCTGAATTGATTATTTACATCTGCATTTCTACAGAGCTGGTTTCTGCTTGGAGCAGGGAGACTTGGGGCTATTAAGAAAAAACTGGGCATGCTTTTCTGCCTCTTTAAGATCCTTTGAGGAAATATAATATTCTGCCCTTTTAATATTTCCTTCTTTGGGGGGGGGGGCTGACTTCCTACCTTGATTTAAAATGGGACTCCTATGTCCAGTGCTTTTTTTCTTTAAAAAATAAGTGCTGGAACTCACACTCATCATACAACCCGCATTACCTACTCTACAAGGTTCCATCCAAAAAAGGTGCCCAAACTCTGTTCTGGGTGTTCTATGAGAAAAAAAGCCCTGCCTGTGCCCATTTATTTTACAATAAGCATTATAAAAATTATTGAACTTAGATCAGAATAAACATATAGAGAATGGGATAATTTCTAAATGCAGTAAGTGTTGTCTATGCACAGTATAATCAGCCGAGATTCCGGAGATTTAGAAAATTTTTTGTTTCTAAATATTTAAGGCTTCTTTCTTAGTATTGCAAACAAACAAGCAAATCTGGGGATGAGCCGGGCAACCCCTAAACGAGCTTCGGAGACGAGGAACCTTTCAGCCGACAGGGGGAGTTGCAGAAAGAGGCACCCTCGTGCTCCTGGCTCAGAGGAGGAGGAGGAGGAGAAGAAGGAAGTAGAATTGCTGAGCTAATACAAGGGCGAGGCTGGGAACCGGGAGACGCCACAGCCATGGAGGAGTTTAATCCCCGTAACGATGAGGTAGTGCAGTTCTTCTTTCCCGCGCTGGTCAGCCGGAACCTCTGAAATCCCGCTCCTCTCAGGGTAGATCTTGCTCGATCGTGGACTGAAAGGCCACCGAGGAGCACAAGGCAGGCTTTCCCAAGTCCCTCCAGGCGGGCTGCGAGGCAGGCTCGCGTCACCTCCCTTGGGAGAAAGATGATAGATCTCCCGGCATAACAAGACCGGTCGAGCTTTTCAGGCCCGCTCGTTCTTGAAGCTTTGGGCAGCCCCATGTATCTCCCTAAAGCCGCCTGACGGATGGAATGTATACTTTAAGAATATATATAAGGCTAGTCGCAGTAGATGCAGCCAAGTCGGAGCAGTGAGACTTTATATTTAAGAGCAAGCGACGGCCCTAAAAGACATACAGTGTGTGCATGTGCGCGCGTACGTGGTGACTTTTCTTTCGGGGATGGAGAGGATGCATCAGCATTTTAATTTGTCTATGGAGGAAATTACTTCTTTGACTTCTCAGTTGTCCACTAAACCATTTTTCCAGGTAGAGAGTTAAGAAAAAGTCTCACTTGCTCTGCTTTGCCTTGCTTCTTTTATATGTGTATGTGGCATTCAGAGATGCTGACCCGTGTATTTCTTCCTTTGCCCTGTATATACACAGATTTGGATTTAGGTATTATGCTAAGCTGTAATTTGCTTCATAATGGTTTATTGAGAAGACTACAATTCACTGACTTCATATAATGTGCTAAGACATAAGCCTTTTGTTTACAAACCGAACTGATTGTATTTTAGCAATTCATATGACCCAGTTCAGTTGGAAACACAGCAAGCTTGATTCTGCTGTTCATTTCTATTTTAAAACGCTGGATTTTAAAATTTCTTTTAAATAAATTTCTTAGATTTGAAACACTACCATGACTTTCTCATCAATCCCTTGCAGTGCTACAAATGCAACATTAATGAATTCTTGTGGCTCTTATTAGTGAATTAGTGGCTCACAAACAGATCTTTGATGTTAAGGAATTGTACTGAATATGGATGCTACATGTTGCTTTCTAGAGCATCTTTTTCTCTCTAGATCTAAAACGCTGCACATGTATTATTCTCTAGGACAGTGTTTCCCAAACTTGACAATTTTAAGGCATGTGGTCTTCAACTCCCAGAATTCCACAGCCAGCAATTCTGGGAGTTGAAGTCCACATGCCTTAAAATTGTCAAGTTTGGGAAACACTGCTCTAGGATAATATACAAGTTTTAGTTTCTGATTTTTCAAGATAGACATAGTGAAACTAAAATCCAGCTAAACAATATATTTGAAACTGTGTTTTAGTAGTAGTATACATATATGTTAGATATAATAACTTGGTTATAGTATGTGATATTATGCTTGGTTATATATGTATTACCTTCATAAATTAATAATATTACCAGTATGAATGAAGATTATGACTATTTTGCATTTGAAGAGTTGTATGTTTTTTTAAGCGTCCTTTATATTTTTGTATTCTGAATTACTTGATACACTGTACTGTTTATTTAGTTTAAATTTGTATACATTGCTGTGCACTCAAATTGGATGAATTTTGGTAAAATATTAATAAAATATCTTTGTATATTTTGATATTATAATTACAGATGATCTTTAACACTGAAGAAGCCCACAATATTATTAAAGATGTGAGTTATACATTTATGTTTTGATAATAAAATACACTTTTGGTATGTTTTCTTTGAATCTCTATTAAAAATAGAAATGATAGATATCTCTTACAGACTTGGGCTATAGCCCTATATGTATTCCATTTGGTGTATCATCAAATTTTTGGAAATAAATATAGATAGATATGGTGATAGCCATACTTTGCATTCAAATTTAATAGATGTTTCAGGTTTTAAACATTTTAATATCAAGACAATGGACTGAATTTTAAATGTCTATGAGTGGAACTTGAACATCAGAGGATACACACTAGCAGAAAGTTATTTCTGCCAATTCTATTTGCTGCAGCTTGCTATACTCTCAGACTAAGATATAATTGGATGTGGGTGATATCCTACCTGGGAGTATCAAGAATGGGAGTGCTTGAATGTGAGGAGAAAGGTGAATTGGTGACAATTGGTGTTTAACCATTTAATTTGCAGAATTGTGTGGTAGATTGGAGATCTTTCTTTGATTGGAAGGCATCCTTTCAGTCAGGAGAAGGCTGTTTAGGATCTGAGCCAATTATGATCAGCATTACACAGCAACAAGTGTTCTGTTGAATTCTTTATTGGTAGTAATATGCATACTTAATTGTTTTGTAAAGATGGCAAACCGTGCTTCTGGTATTGCGATGTAGCCTTTTCTTGTGTTTAACTGGAAAACTGAATCTGTATCATATGATGTTTACAAGTGTGCCAGAGCAGCCCAGCATGATGAAAACAAGATGCTGCTTTTATTTGTTGCATTAATATGTAAATTCAACACAATGAGATATTTTAGACATGTTGAGATAACTCAGATTATTGACTGATTGCTTTTGTAATTAATATCTCGTAATTTCTAGTCTAGACTTTAGAAATTTGAGTTATTTTCTATTCATTATATGAAATATTTATATTTATATTTCTATAAAAGTCTTTTACTTGTTCTTTTAGTGTTTCTTTTGTATATATGTTTGTTTTATCATAGAGAATAAAATACAAAAAAAAATCTTTTTTTTTTTCAGTGCATAGAAGGTGTTCTGGGCAAGGCAGATTATGACCATGACAATGTGAATAAATGGACTGCAGCTGTAGTAGAACAGTCTCTAACAAATCTAGTAAAATTGGGAAAAACATATAAGTATATTGGTAAGACTCATTGTGAATATACAGTACAGTACTCTGGGTGAAAACTAAAGACCATATACTAATAACTTCTCCCAAGCAGTTTTCTTCTACCTGAATCTCTCCAGGTGTATTGAAACTTCAACTCAATAATCAGGAAGACATATTTAAAGTGATGTGGGATTAGGATTTAACTCTCATTTACCATCAAGCAGAAACAAATATTAAAAAAAGGAGCAGGACAAACACAAAGAAAGAGCTTTGCTAATCTTTTTTGGCCAATATTACCAAATTAAGGGATTACAGGGTTGTAAAAAAGGAGAGTTTTTAAAATTATGTTACAGAGTAGAATATTATAAAGAAGAAGCATGTCCAGATATCCCCAGTGAATATCTGTAGTAGAGCTATAGAAAACCAAATTTTTGTGTAGCTGTCTCAAATCTGGTATTATCTTGTATTATCTAGTTTTGTTGGATTAAATAAATATTCATAGCCAATGGTGTCATATTTTTAGATATGCTTAGATGCTGTGCCTTTTAAGTGCAATAGTGATTATTCTGCAGAAAATTAAAAGTACCAGGAAGAATTCTTTGCTGAAGAGAAAGTTAGCCAGTTTCATCCTCAAAAATATATACATTGGGTTAATTAAATCTCTAGAATTGATAGTGGAAAGATTTTTTTAAGGAGAAGAAGAAATTAATCTCAATTTAATTTTTCTAAAAAAAGAAAAACTTGTTGCATAATTGGAATAATTAATTGTTGGGAAAAAATGGAAGATTTTCGTGTATACTTTGTCACTGTAATGTGGAAGCTTTTCTTCTAGTTGGGTTTTATCCCCAACTCCAATCTTCATGAGGAAAGTCTGCAAGTTTGAATAATTCATCAGTTTTTTGTTTTATTAATTAATGCTGAATTTTTGCTCCATCCATTTAGTGACCTGTGCTGTGATGCAGAAGTGTGGGGCTGGTCTGCATACTGCAAGCTCATGTTTTTGGGATACCACAACCGATGGTAACTATCAAGCTGCAGCAAATAAAAGCATCACTTAAATTATGTAATGTAGAAGTATCACTTCAATTTTTAATGAAAGTATATAATGAAAAGTGCACAAAACTGCAGACCAGACTGATCCTGTATCAACTGAAATACAATTTGACAACTCCCGTAGTATACAGATATTGCTAGTGATTGAAATTAGGGTTGTTTGGCTAAAACCTGAAATAGTGTAATTGGAAGTGATGCCTGCGATCTGCAGTTTTATGCAATTTTCATTGTTACAAAGATTGGGTTCACAATTGTATTAGAGTTTTACCAGGTTTTATTGAACGAATCAGAGTTGGCTGACTTTGCACAATTTGTTGAGCCCAAACTAATAAATTGTACAGTAGCTTTACTGTGATTTAGTGCATGGTTTATATATAACAAAAGTTTGATTGACAAAATGTGGTAAACCTTAGCATCTTTTGGTTTTTCTGAATCTCAGCTTTCTTTTAGCCTATCCTAAAGTTCACTGGGTTACTTACCCTAACAAGGTTTTTGTGAGGTAAAATAGGAAAGGCATTAATTAGATTACTTGGACCTGTAAGAGACCTGTAGAATCTCAATCTGACGAACAAACAAATAAAGTGCATCACAACTTACTTTTTATTGGAACCAAGGTCATGATATCTTAAAAATATGAAGTAAGGCTGAAAAAATTCAGAGATACTTTCTAGAAAACAGCACAGTCCAATATGGACCATGAATAGATGTCTGCTGTTCCCTGTGGGTGAATATAGGCTATAAAATATCTAATCATTATTTTTCTTTAAATCCATTACAGGTACTTGCACAGTCAGATGGGAAAACAGAACAATGAACTGTGTGGTTAGTGTCTTTGCTGTGGCCATAAACTTGTAGCAAAAAATTAAAGATTGTAAACTGGATAAAATAAGTTATCTCAAAGCCTTTTAAATTAGAAATTATGGAATACTCAGAATATACTGTAAGAATTATTTAATAGATATTATTAAGTCTGAGAAAAAAAGGAAATGTGCTTTTAAAAATGTTTCTGCAAAAATGTTTATATTCTAAAGCCTTTTTTCTGTCAGCTGGGAGATGGCTATATATGTATATGCTGATTTTAAAAGGCAAACATTTGAGTACGCTGTAATTGTATGTTTTGTGTTCAAAAACAAAAACATGCTGGATTATCACCAATACTTCACATGTAGGAAATTAGGAGAAATACTTGGAGAATAAATTACTTATAATATATAAGAAGTTGACATATATTTTGCTTGAGTGACAGATCTTAGTATTTTGGAACGAGATTTTTAACCTGTTTCAGAATTCTTTGCAACTTCTTTATTTCTCAAAATAATGACTGATAAACTTCAGCTTGACTACTGAAATCTAATTTTGTGTATTCCGAGACAAATCTCTGAAACTGGCACAGAGAGAACCGAACTGGGTCTCTTGAGAACTGAACAAGTGTCATAGAAAGCACACCATTGAAGGATTCCATGGTTGTGGTTTAAACTTATATGGAGAAAAGTTTCCACAAAACAGTAAGTTTCAAAACCTACTATTTAGGTTTTGAAAACCTGTTTAAAAAAGTTATGTAGTCAGAAGATATATGCGGTAAATGAACAGAACAATGGTAAACAAATTTTAAAAGTTTTTTTTGTTACTTGTAGAATGAAGAATATATATATTCTTCAAAATATATATATTCTTCTTTACAGGTCATGAATATTTTATAAGTGAATGTAGTTTTCATGCTGGAATTCACCATGATGAAATTCTTAGGACTTATTTATAAAGTTGAGAGAATCTTGTATAATGTTGATATTGATAAATAGTGTACAGCAGTGGGGGGGGGGGGTTCTTGCCTGTGTGCCACTTTCACAAATGCAGGTTTGTACATGTATGGGCCACGGAGCAGGGTTTGGGGACCCCTGGTGTATAGTAATGCTGCATCAATAAAAATCATGAAAAAATACCATTATGATCTTTCAGGCAGATACTCAGGCACAATTATGCAGCTATTATGTTACCTGTTTGCTATATATTTTCAATGCTGATGTTTCTAAGTAAGGGCCATCTTTTCTCCTTTATGTCCTTGAATAGCAATGTGCCTTAATAATTTAAACATATAAAATAATATTTCATTTATTGGACTTAAAAGTACACATTCAAGTGTGGAAGCAGGCTTTATATTTTAAAATGCACTTAAATATAAGTATGAGGTTACAGAACAATTAACAATAGTTGTTCTCTGTTCATGTTTAATTGACAATCTCTTGAATTCAGTAGAGTTCCAAATAACTTTGCTACTTATGTCTGCTTAATAGTTCTGGCATTATTAAAATAAAGCTTACTTGACAGTAAATTAATTGAAAACCATGAGACTAACTGTTAAGAAAATATTGCCAAAATCAGTAGTATTTATGATGCGCCCTAGGTCTAATAAACAGAAAAACATCAAGGCAGTAATTCCATTAAAGGAAAACTTTAAAAAAATTAAGCATTTCTGCAGATATATTTGTGTTTCAGGGAACTAGTATTTCAGCTTTTCATGCACTTATTGTGTTGTTTAGAAGGCATTTGAATCTTGAAAGCAGACTTTTTTATTTTGGCCTTTTAAAAATATCAGGTTTAATGAATATTGTTATAAGATTTTTAGAAATGGTTTTTGACTAGTGCAGCGAACTTGGTTTTATATTAACATTATTTAAAGCATCAGAACCTTAATATTTATAATGAATTTGTTGCAATTTAATACTATTAGCAGTATAGCCCAAATGTTTGTTATATAATCAAAGATGAACCTTATTTCTGAAATTAGTATATATATCTGCAACACAAAAGCCAAAACTATTTCATTGTATATCGTATCACAGTTCTAGATTCATTCTTTTGCTTTTATTCTTGTGATAAGATGTTTTAATCTCTTTTCTGAAGTAGCGAAAGACAATCTGGAAGTTAATATGTTTTATGAAAGCTGCAAATGTAATAGACTCCTATTTGCATTCTGGATGAAGTAAAGACTGATTGCTTTCCAGAGGCAGTTATCAGCAAACAAAAGCTCAGCTGTTTTTATTATGTGGTGTATGCAAATGATGGACTTGAAAAAACCCACTATGTTTGACAAAGTTGAAGGGAAAAGAAAATGAAGGCAGTGGGCAGAATGAAAATGGGATGAAGGTGAGTGGAGGAAGACTACAAGAGGAAGACCTTTGAAGACTACAGCAGTCCTAGATGATAAGCTTCTGTTCATCTGTTGGATTATCTACTTAAATCAGAGAATTACACTTTTAGAAATCTTTCTCATTCACACACACACACAACCACCTTTTTTCATAAATGAGAATATTTTGATTGGGTTTCATGTATTTATAATGTATCTAAAAATCAATTTTGCTGTAAACTTACTTTATACAGAGATTCGGAAATTCAAAACTGGCAAGATTGCACTATAATGATATTGATATTTGTCTTAAACAGCTACATTTTGTTTTTACTTAAATAAATTATATCTGCCTTAGTTGTCACTTATGCTTTTTTAATTAAATTAATGACATAATTCTTGACTGGGATGTGACTTTTTCAGATTATTTTAGGCTTTTCTTGATATTTCAAGAAATTTCATAATATTAAGAATTATTCTTCACCTAACATACATCCACTGTTCTAACTTTCTGGGGGGGGGGGTTTCCTGCAAATGGCCTTCTTGAAGAGGGTGGGGGTTTTATTACAATTCCATAATTGAGTCATTTCACTCCAGATAGGCTTGCATAAGGGAAAACCGTCTTGTATTCTCTACTCATAACACAATCTTTCAGGGTAAGTTGGCAAATGGCTCAAAGGATTGTAATTGTTGGAGACATTTTCAGTTTGGCAAACACATGTTCTTCCTTTCTTCCCTTAATATAGACTTTGAGGTGATGAGTCTGGAGCAGACAACTTGGTCTCATCTTTTGGACTTCTGTTGCCCCTTGGCTATTATTGTGAGAAGTGGAAGAGCAGAGGATCACCTTTCCATTTCCTGTTCTGAAGGTGCTGGCAGTGACAGCTGTCCTGTCAACCTCCAGACTATGATCTCAGTGAAGGCATGGCTATAAAAGATGGGGCGGGGGAGTAAGGAAAAAGAATATAGCTGCTACTTCCCTCCTTGCTTCTCAGGACTGTCAGGTTTAGGTTGAGTTCATACACCTGGCACTATTTTCATTCTTACTTATTCAAAGGAGTCACCAACCATGTGATTCTTACCAATCTTGAAACAAAACAGCATGAATTATTATGTGATTCAGCTAACCAACAGGAGACGCACCCCTTACTGAGACTACCCCATTTTCTGAGCTATAGCAGGTCCTGGAATAACAAAAATCACCTCTGCACAATTTGGCTGCAAATTTAAGGGGGTGGGGAATTAACAGGGAATCTTCAACTTGCCACCACAATTGAGCCCAAAATTTCTGTTGCTAAAAAAGACATTTGTTAAGTGAATTTTGCCCCATTTTACAACCTTTCTTGCCACATACGTTAAGTGAATCACTTCAGTTGTTAATTTAGCAACAGAGTTGTTAAGTGAATCTGGCTTTCCCATTGACTTCGCTTGTCAGAAGGTCACGAAAGATGATCACATGATCCCGGGACACTGCAATTGTCATAACTATGAGTCAGCTGCTAAGCAGCTGAATTTTGATTACGTGACCATGGGAATACCGCAATAGTCATAAGAGTAGAAAATGGTCATAAATCACTTTTTTCAGTGATGTAACTTCAAATGGTCACTAAACAAACTGCTGTAAGTCAAGGACTACCTGTACATTCTATATGTTGCCTTCATACTGTATATTTGCAGGTGTGGGTGTGTGTTTTAGAGGCATCCCATACAATTCCTTTGAGTTGTGATGGTAACAGTAACCCATAGTTTTGCAGCTTAGTGGTTTCTCCAATCCGTGTTTCCCGGAAAATAAGACCGGTTCTTCTTCTTCTTCTTCTTCTTCTTCTTCTTCTTCTTCTTCTTCTTCTTCTTCTTCTTCTTCTTCTTCTTCTTCTTCTTCTTCTTCTTCTTCTTCTTCTTCTTCTTCTTCTTCTTCTTCTTCTTCTTCTTCTTCTTCTTCTTCTTCTTCTTCTTCTTCTTCTTCTTCTTCTTCTTCTTCTTCTTCTCTTCTTCTTCTTCTTCTTCTTCTTCTTCTTCTTCTTCTTCTTCTTCTTCTTCTTCTTCTTCTTCTTCTTCTTCTTCTTCTTCTTCTTCTTCTTCTTCTTCTTCTTCTTCTTCTTCTTCTTCTTCTTCTTCTTCTCCTTCTCCTTCTCCTTCTCCTTCTCCTTCTCCTTCTCCTTCTCCTTCCCTTCTCCTTCTCCTTCTTCTTCTTCTTCTTCTTCTTCTTCTTCTTCTTCTTCTTCTTCTTCTTCTTCTCCTCCTCCTCCTCCTACTCCTCCTCCTCCTCCTCCTCCTCCTCCTCCTCCTCCTCCTCCTCCTCCTCCTCCTCCTCCTCCTTCTTCTTCTTCTTCTTCTTCCTTCTCCTCCTCCTCCTCCTCCTCATTATTATTTGCCAATTTTTCAATATTACATTTACATATTTAAAAAGCGTGGCGGCTGAGCACAGTAGTTCCGTTACATTTGAATATCATCAATAAAAATCTCTAAAGTGTTACAACAGCTAATTCCCTCGCTTTCCCCCATAATATCTTCTGTCTCATGTTCGGACCAACACAGTCCTTAGTCCATCAATCAAACAAAAAATATACCCTTCTAGTATTCATCAATTATCTTCAGTCTATACATACCCTAATTGATTTGACATTCCATCTTTTAGACAATAACCTAGTAAGTTTTTCTTAACCAGGTCTTATTTTTGGGGGATATCTTACCTCTGGCACCAACAGTCCCCCCCCCCCAGCTGATCCACTTCTGTGACCGAAGGAGCAGTTTCATTCTGCAGCTGCATTCCAGCCTGCATTTTGCAGTCAGGCCTTTCCAGAAGCCTCTTGCAGCTGAGTATCGAGCTATGGATTGAATCCATAGCTTGGTCCTCGGCTGCAAATGTCTTGCAAAACCAAGCTATGGATGGAATCTATAGCTTGGTTCTCGGCTGCACAGGCTTTCAGAAAAGGCCTATGACAGAAATGCAGGCCTGGCTGCAGAAGATGCCTCAGAAGAAGTGGGCCGGCGAGGAGAAACCTGGCTGCAAGGTAAGTGGGTGCAGGGCGCATGTATTCTTCATATACATCACGTTTCATAGTTCTAAAGTGATAATATTCCTTTTTAATGTATGAACAATGTAATAAAATGTTTAAAGAGAGAAAAAGCAAATAAAACAATTCTTCATAAAGAACTTCAACTGCCTTGCTCTCCCTCGGTATTTGTCTAATACTTCACATATTAAAGCTCTTTCATACCTGATGCAAAAACAAAAAAATGCTCTGTACTTTAGAAAATAATGCCATTGTTATGGCCTTCTAATGTGGGTATTTTTTTTAAAAAAAAAATTGCTCATCTGTAGAGGAATTGGTGTCAATTCTAGTTCTCATCCAGAAAGTCTGCAAGCCCTCCCATTTATAGTAAACAGTCTTCTTAGCACTGGAAGTCAACAGTATTTTTCTTGCCCAGCACTTAAATCTATTTCACTTACGTGTTTATAAAACTGCATATAATTGCACAGTGTTTGTTGATTTATATCTAGGATTATAGCTCTAAGATCCCAATAAATATTTACATGGAATAATATCCCCAGGGAAGTAGAATTAACTGGGAAAGCTAATATCTTTATAACTAAAATCTATACAGAATTCAAAAACACAGATTTGGAAGAATTGCCAACTTAACTTGTCTAACATGCCTTGAGATGAAGGATGGGCTTCATACTCAAACTTGTCTGCCTCCTTCCTTCAGTCTCTGAGCAAGATGAATTCCAATTAACAAGTTTAGGGAGGTTTTCTTTATTCAGCTGCTTGATCAAAGAAAAGCAATTTGGCATAGAAGAATAGGACGTAGGGAAGATTAACTATTGGAGAGATTGAACCATAGAGAATTTCAAATAGTATATGAAGATGTATTATTACAATGTAATAATAATAGAAATAAGTGCATGGTTTATTTGTTCGCTTGTTTATTTAGAACATTTTCAATAAATGTAATGCACTTGAATCATCCTGAACTCTACCCCCCCCATCCCATCACATTCCTGGTCCATGGAAAAATTGTCTTCCATGAAACTGGTCCGTGGTGCCAAAAAGGTGTGATCTGCCCATTTTGTGATATATGATTATGGTAAGACTGTGAGTATTTGAAGAAAATGCATATAAGAGAATAATACATAACTGAAATAAGAAATGTTAAAACTTTTCTGTTTGCCACTTTGTCATATTTTAAGATCTAAATTATGTACATTTTATAATTGTTTCAGACACTATTTTACAATTTGATTATCAAGGAAACTATAAAAAGTATTAAAATGCAACCCAGTGTACATGCAAACTCTATATGCATGCAAACATATTAAAATTATGCATTCTTGCAAAATTTTAAGTGAACAACAAGGGAAACACGGAGATAAATGCTTTTTCAGATCAGGAACCATGGAAGGCTGCAGTGAGCTGAAGTAATAGAAAAAACAGAAAAGAAAACATTCACCAGCTAGCAACAGTGAAATTCATATCTTTGTTACAACTGTTGTTGTTGTTAATTGCAAAGTCGTGTCCGACCCATCGCGACCCCATGGACAACGTTCCTCCAGGTCTTCCTGTCCTCTACCATCTTCTGGAGTCCATTTAAGCTCACATCTACTGCTTCAGTGACTCCATCCAGCCATCTCATTTTCTGTCGTCCCCTTCTTCTATTGCCCTCAATCTTTCCCAGCATTAGGCCCTTCTCCAATGAGTCCTTCCTTCTCATTAGGTGGCCAAAGTATTTGAGTTTCAACCTCAGGATCTGGCCTTTTAAAGAGCAGTCGGGGTTGATCTCTTCTAGGACTGACCGGTTTGAACGCCTTGCAGTCCAAGGGACTCGCAGGAGTCTTCTCCAGCACCAGAGTTCAAAGGCCTTAATTCTTTGGCGCTCAGCCTTTCTTATGGTCTAACTTTCACAGCCATACATTGCAACTGGGAAAACCATGGCCTGGACTATACGCACTTTTGTTGGCAGGGTGATGTCTCTGCTTTTTAGTATGCTGTCTAGATTTGCCATAGCTTTCCTCCCCAGGAGCAAGCGTCTTTTAATTTCTTGACTGCAGTCCCCATCTGAGGTGATCCTGGAGCCCAGAAAAATAAAATCTGTCACTACCTCCATTTCTTCCCCATCTATTTGCCAGGAATTGAGAGGGCTGGATGGCATGATTTTGGTTTTCTTAATGTTGAGTTTCAAGCCAACTTTTGCACTCTCCTTCTTCACCCGCATCAAGAGGCTCTTTAGTTCCTCTTCACTTTCTGCCATTAGAGTGGTATCATCTGCATATCTTAGGTTGTTGATATTTCTCCCGGCAATCTTAATTCCAACTTTTGATTCATCTAGCCCTGCCTTTCTCATGATGTGCTCTGCATATAAGTTAAATAGGCAGGGCGACAGTATACAGCCTTGCCGGACTCC